CCTCTCGCTTACTGTGTCAAATGTATTACTCTTTTCCCGGCTCAAATTTGTTCTACAGAAGAGCTAGACCTCATATTGCTGACTAACACAGTAGGACGAGTCGGCTCAGATGGTGATGTGACTTCCACGTAAGATCTCATCGAATAATTATTATCCATGTTATTTCCAAACTGAGGGTTGGACTGAAGAATAATTGTTTAGGTGGGTTAGGTACGCGCTCTTGTCCGGTTGAAACAAAAACAAAGTGATTAGGCAAATTGATGGTTCTGGAATTAATTGCAAATTTGAATGTACATTATTACTTAAACAAATATGACCACCCAGCTACTCAACAAATAATTGTTCAATTGATCAAATCTTAATTGCAATGAATAATGGAGTTCATAAAGGATGCGAGAAAATTACCAATCACAACAAATAAATGTTATTCTATTCTGTCTGGATAGATCACGCACAGACTCGTTCAAACGATAATATTTGGGTTGCTTTATAACACAGTGTTTCCAATTCTGGAAGAGTGCCTCAATTCACAATCAAAAATGCACAATTCCAGTCAGTACAAGCAACACAATCAAAGGGAGGGACAAACCAATATGGCTGCCATCAAGACTAAGTATCAAGTTAGACAACATAAATGCAGTTCAGGAAGAAACATGTAAACTTAGTGAAGGTGTAAGAAAAATAAAAACTATAATGAAATACAAATATTACCGACTCGAATGGAATCAAAAAGACTAACAAAATGCACAAGTAAAGGAATCGATAGGAACAAACTTCAAGTGTATAAGTGGAGGGATTTTCACACACAAAACATTCAAAATAAGTCTTACAAGTAGTGTTTTCAAGATTGAAGCTGCTGACGTTGCATATCTGCATGTATTTCACCCATTTGTGCCTTCTTAGTTTAAACATGCAAATAGTTTGATTTATGTAACGTTTGGAAGCCGTTTTGAAGATAAAATGATCTACACGGAGTTTTGTTTACGGTAAGATGTTTTAATGAACACCTGCATCAATTAAGGGGCATACTTCCGAGTCCATTTTCTGTAGATCGTCTTTTAAAACTGAAAAATCCAACCGTTTAACGTTCCAAATCTTGCTGCTAGCAGCCGTTTGTTTATCAGAATACTGTTTTCAGCACTATACTTTATAACTACACGTAATTGCATACCTTCGGCTTCTTTCAGAACCACCTTCGTTTATACAGTTTTTTATTCACTCATACCTTGTTTGCATTTATTTTCTTTAACAAATTTGAGTGCTCTTGCTTGATACGTATCTTAATAAAAGAGGAGTATACTGAGTAGTCATACCTCAACTATTACTCCATGAACATCGTCTGCTCTGCTTTTCATCCCTTCTTTTTCTTACACCTTTTTTCAGACCCCTCGAGATATGTCACCGAAAACAGATATGGAACGGGTGACTTTGTCCCGCACCATCTTCAAAGCCTCAGATATTCCTGGGGAATATAAGGTTGTGGTTTCTAGAAGCTCCCAACTTCACGTGAATCTATTCATGACCATCAGCTGCACGTCGCAACGCAACCTTCATAATGCACACCAACTACGATATTGAAAATAAGATCATAACTAAAACCATCTATATCCATATATTATAAAATATCAACCCAGCTGAGTAATTTACTACAGTGAAAATTGTATCTTTTGTAACAATTCGATCTTGCCCGTAAAATGTCATGCCTCATATAACAGTGTTACTTGAGAATAAATTATTATTATTATTAACTAATTATTCTCGCGTTCACAGTTTTTGATCTCTCTATGTTAAATGTCAAATATGGATTTTCTCACTTGTTTCATGTTCAACTTTAAAGATCATTTGTTGAGAATCAATACCACCACAGGGTAAACGAAGAGGCTAACTAGATCTTCAGCTCCTCCAAAACCATCCAAGTGACTTCCGTGGTGGAACGAAGAAATGAACGTCAAGATAGGTGATGTATAGGAACGATTGCATCCATTTTGGTTGCATCAAGTTAACTATGGTCAGCACATGAACACTAGCTTTGTTCCTGAGTGATAATCCTCACTCCACTGAATCTGTCATATCTACGACCGAGATAAAAGGCATTTCAGGTGTTGAACAAATCAAAACAACGAAATTATGAGACAATTTATTTTTAGGGCTGGTATGGCTGTCTTTGGCGGCAATTTTATTGTCCGATGTGATTGAAAATGATTATCAGTGCTCAATGTAACTATGTAGATAAAGTTTGTGATCAATTATGTAGGTCATTTTTCAGCGTCTGGATGGGTCATACACAGCTTCGGTACTCAAAACTGGGGAAACCATTTTATGTTTGAGGTTAAAAGTTACACTAGCGGTTCAATTTCAAGCTCCTGCCTGGATTCCTGGTTTGTTTTCTTGACGGATAGGTTACTCGTGCCCAGCTGTGGATGAATTTACCCGTTGTCGGTACCCTATTCACACCACCGTTTGGACGAATTTAATTGTTTTCGAAACCTTTGGAAATCGTGATAATGATTCCTGTGCTTAATAGTTTGAAGTGTAATATTGAAGGGATGCCAGTACTTCATTTTCGGTGAACTGTTACCGTAAAATGTGGACATTTTCTATAATCGCTTGATCATGAGGCCCTACTAGCAGACCTTGGTTCGAAATCGAAAACACCCGAACATTCTGAGAATCGTCTACAGTGGCGCGTGATTACATACTGAGGTAAGCGATTACTTCTGAGAGATATTGTTATTCTATATGGTTCAAAAATCAGTTGTTACCAAGCGTGAATCAGTACTCACATATTAATTATTCTCTGACGTTCGACGATACAAAGCTGTCACTTATGTTCCCTCGAAACCATAGCATCTTGAGAGAAAAGGTCAGTCAAAATGGTTTTTGACGTTTTCGGAAGGAAAACATGGCAATAAAACGTGAAAGAGCCCCAGTGGAGACCACCCAGTTCCTCAGTGAAGCATCTCTAGCAATTTAAGCAGAAGAGAGTAGCAGTAAAAGATAAACAGAGGAAACTTCTTTCTGGGTGCAATTTGTTAGAAGTGATATATAAATATCCCAGCCGATGAGACTACACTATCGGCAGCTGAATATCAAAAATGGATACGCCATGCAGATCAAATACCGGGAAATTCTGACGCGTCGCAGAAATCTAAAAACGTGGGTTTGTGTAGGAAACCTCAGACAGCGACCCAGATGACTGTAGGATGAGAACAGAACCTAATGAGAAATTTATTACTGAAATGCAGGAGAGCAGAGTTTCTCTAGTTATGCCTAAAAAGGGAAGCGTGCAACGTTTACAGGGGAAGATGTCGATTATGATATCTTAGTTGTTGCTTGCAACAAGTGACCAGTCAATTTTTCTTTTATTTATTCCAATTACCTGGACTGGTCACGTTTTACAAGGGTCACAACGTTAGTCGTTTTCCCATGCGTATCCACAATGACAAATGGTAGTTATAACCTATTTATCAAGTGGGAAGATGATGTGAACAGACAACTGAAGAAGTCATGACAAGCAGTGCAAGCTGTCTTGGCGAAAATCATATCACTTAATTCAAAATTTATAAAATACTAACGTTTGGTTCTGTCCCTGGTTATTCCTAAGCTGTCGTTTGATGTATGATTCACTGCCATATCCTTTTCAGTTCCAAAGCCTTTGAAATTCAAACGTGACTTTTGTAAACATTTTTATATCCTAAAGCTTAGTTTGGACGTAACTGTATTTTTCGAATGGTTTAAGCTTTGTGGTAGCGTTATTTATTTATTTATTCATGCATCTTTTTATACGAATGCAGACCGGAAATCAAGAATAAGTCTTCCAGTTGACTCGCTTTTGTGCTCACTTTCACTCATCTACCAGTCATAGAATAGAATAGTTTTCGTCTCTTTTTTCCAGAACCATTATTCTCAATTTAGACCCACGCGTTTCTGGCCCTAAGTTTGAACCAATTAGCCAATCATTTCAGGCCTTTAACCTAGATTAAGACAACTCCTCGACTCTACATTACTGGGTAGGCAGATCCATATTTGAGAGACTTAGTAAAGTCAACTGATCACAGAGAAAGGGTTTCCTGCCATGCGGAGAGCATTGATCTGTACCTCAAAACTTGACACTAACACATTACAAAATATTAAGTGGATTATTAGCTTAGAGGTAATTACCCAACTACCTGTTCAAAGAATTAAAACATCTAAGGCAAACTAGACACGTAGTCCTATCGTCAAACGGCAGATTAATCCAACCATTTCCAGTAGCAACACTTGAACACAGGGATGCAATATGGAAGCACCCCACGAAAAGAAGTAGTTGAGTAGAATTATACGAAGACAGTCTTGAAATGGTGTATGATGACGGGACGGTGGTGGTAACTAGAAATATAAGCGAAATAAATAAATATAGTCGCATTTGAAGTCGAAAATATATGAACACAATATGTAAGAATGAAAGTATTAAAAAATTAACTTTACAATTAAAGTAAAACCAGGAGTTACTGTCAAGTGAAATGCGCACAGAAGGGGTTTCACACACACAGACATGGGTAGACGTGTGCATACGAAGAGCATTTTCCAGTCTGGTTTCTATTTCGTCTTTTTGTTCCAAATGCTCTTATTTTGTAGTATTCCTTCGTATCTATTGATTTAAATATATTTTCATTCCCTCATTAACGTACGTTCTTTCACTTCTTATCGTTATTTGAGTTCCAACTTTTAAAAGTCTAATGTTACTAATCAAACAGCTGCATAACGAGATAATGACTCCTAGTTCCCGCAGTCCCGCCGTAATGAGACGAACAGCTCTAATGACCTGAAAATAATCAAGCCCTTGTATGAGTGTTAGATTTCTGATGAATATTAGGGTGAAGTAAGCTGATTCTTCAACGGGCGGCACTACTAGGTTTAACTCATTTTCTGAAACTTTTACGTGATGGCTGAAAAAGAAACATTGGACATCTAATTAGCACTATGACAACAATAACGCGCACATTTAAAAACAGTTTTCGATGAGGGAAAGCATATATAATTTAATACCTATAGAACAGCCACCTAAAGCTTCCTTACCAAGGTAATTTTAGTTTTCTTTGTTATCATATTGATTTTAGATATAAATCATGTAGCCAGAGAGAAGTAATATCCTTATTTAACATTAAAAAGTTTCCTTGTAAAACTATGGGAGTCCCAAAAGTTAATCCACCAAATCCGCAATGCTATCTTAAGATGAGGCACTCAGCGCCTGAATTATTTCGTAAAAACGACGAGCCGTTGAAGGGTAGCTCAATTTTTTTGGTTCAATTTTTATGAATATCCAGGCAGCTATCATAAATGTAACCTCTCAGCTAAAAGAGAACCCCTACCGTCTCTTAAATCTAAAGCAATAAACGTCGTTTCATGCAAAGATTTTATCAAAAAGAATATAAGAATGATAGAAGCGTCAGTGCCTTCAAAACCCAAACCGTTTGTGGTAGATACGAGGACAGGCCATAAGTTTGATATCAAGTGTTCTGGTCTTGAGCCTTTTTATATTAAGCGTAAGGTGAGCACTTATCATTGATCAACTTTGAATGAATACAGGACTTCGGTGAATTGCCGAAATATCTATCTGAGCGTGAGAAAGCCGCTTCTGAAGCTCAAAAAAACTATGAAGAATACATTAAACAACTTAAGGAGAAAAATGCTCTGATGGTTATCACAAAAGATGAGAAAAAGGTAGGACTGTTTATCTACTTTCGTAACTTTCTATCAACTTAGTCTTTAATTGATCAACTAAAAGACAAGTGGCAGCAAAGATATAGACAGTATCAATCTTTATCCGTTATGATTGACACTCCCCCAAAAATGCACCACAAATTATGGCTTGAAAAAGAAATGGAAGAAATAGAAAAAGACATAAACCTCTTGGAAGGATACGATTATATTTACGTTGCCAAATAAATGTCATATTAAACATTTATAATAAAAAGTGCCTACATACGATTGTTGCACAAATACTCACACTGGCTAGTGTACTGATTTCTCATATTTCCTATTCTGAAGAAAACACACTATTTATTCTTCATTTGAACTCTGTAACAACTTATCCCCAAATTTATTTCAGAAATACTATGGTATCCAGAAAGGTGCATTTACAGTTTTCACATGCACCTACAAATTTCTCTTTCATTTTGTTTTGCAATATTTTTCCTCACTCTTTGTAGGTATGTGATTTAGATTACGGTGTTGCTCACAATCAAAAATTTACAGTTTTGTGATTGGAACCATTTGTATCCTTCATTTTGGCCACTTAGGACAGAAGTTTAGTTGAGCTATACTCTGTAGTAAGTAGAACAGCGATGCGCTAATATTTACTTGTCAGCTGTGCCACTAGCAGACAGTTTTTACACAAATCGGGTTAAAGTAGCCTGGAGAAAGCGATACCTATGAGTCATGTGAAAAGTAAGACACACAAACTGTTACAACAACTTGTTCAGCCTTTAGTAGTATAGAGATTAATGGATTCCTTACGACTGATTGGGAGTTATGGCTAGCATACGATTGAAATTTAGGAAAATTTAGTTACAATTCCAAAGGTTTCCAGTCAACATGATGAAATGCATCGCAGAAACCATTTTCTGGTGTTTGGTAAACTATTACATCTGCCTTGAACTTCAAGGAATATCAAACGTGAAAATTTACTGTTTGGACAAAGTAAAATATACGATTCCAATAAATCTGATATGCTCCATTGCACTATATTTTCATCATGTATTGGGCTTACAAATTTTAGAACGTGGTACTATGGTTTGTGTATTCCACCATAACCAAAAGAACAAATTCAAATAGTTAGATTAAAGCTGATTGTTGATGGTATTCATATTTACTTGATTTTAAAATGAATTGCTTTTAAATTTTCTTAATGCCCTTCGTTAGAAGCTTGCATGCCTTCCGTCCCAACTTAGATGGCATGACATTGCAACAAAGGATTTATAAATTTGTCGTGAAAATAATATCGACGTTATGGTTTCTATTCCGGGTATCACGGGGTCTTTATTTTTTAGATATTGTTATCACATATTCGTAGATGTCCTGCAGCTAGTTTTAATTTACAGTTTTATGATAATTAGAAGTATTCAGATTATTGTATTAACTAGGAATTTCCGAAATAGTGCAATTTAAACCAAAGAGAGTTAGATGAGCACAAACAAACGTACTGTATTTATAATTCAAAACCATAAACGAATCAAGTACGAAAAAATCATTGGTTCATACATAAACAGCAGATCTGTCTATGGTTTGTAGTTGCAAAATACCGTTCTGATGGATTCGAATGACATTTATTTATCAGTTCTTAAATTGATAAATGAACAGCTAACAACAACTATCTATATACCAATATTGATGAGATTAGTTGTAATAACTAAACCAGAAATCTCCTTTGACCTAATCTTGCTAGTATTTTAAACAAAAGCTTTCAAACAGCTACAGTTTAGAATGAATATATGTAAAGTTGATTTGCTTTAGTTTGTAAAAATTCATTTTCATAAAATATACCCAACGTCCATTAAAGAACTAATAACTTATTCAAAAGATTACGACAAAGTATCCATAACGACTTTAACTAGAGAGAGATTTAGTTAGTTAGCAGTTTTGTAACAATGAAAATATTTAAGACATATGACAACTTTATTATTTCTCATATAAACAGAATCATCGCTAAAGTGTTTTGCAATTAGTCAGAAATATAAGTTACACAGCATATTAAGTGACCGATAAAAGTGTAAACTTCTGCACAGTACTATATCGTTTTAATGTTTTGGAGACTTAAGTACTAAATGCAGACGAAATTAAAGAAACACAAATAAGTTAGTAAGATTTTTATAAACATTGTATGTATATATATGTGATGATGATTAGAAGTACTCGAAGTAATGTGCTATGAATTCCTGAAGTAGAAGCCAAGTAGAACTAAATGAGTATTATATTTGTAATTCGTAATAAGCGAGCAACCAAGTAAAAAGAACTCAGTGGTTAGTTCAAATACCACAATATATAATGTAAACAAGTGAGTTGATACGCCAAAATTAAAATGATATTCAGCTCCCTCTGAATTTATTAAATTTTATGTCCCTGTGCCCCTTTAATATATGACGTAATTATACCCCCAACTAGAGCACAGCAAATTATCGACCAAACCAATGAAGCATCAACTCATACAAGTCTATAGTCCTTACCGGTTCTTCTTCCTGCCTAACCCTGCCTGTTAGAGTCCAGAACACCAATCTCAGCCTCTGCGATATGAAACATGTATTTCAGATATATTGGGTTTATATTACCAATCAAACAGACCACATCGTACCATAAAATAGAAAATAACAGTTGTAGAGGATCTAGCAAGTGTGGCTATGAATATGGGAGACTGTAATTAATAGACTGGTCATAACTCAAGAACGGTAACTCGTATAATCATAATCTATGAGTCAAAATAAAGCTTAGAATAAGAGAAATATAGATATATATAATTTAGCTACTAAATAATTGTATATTAGGAATATACATATAATATTTGTCCATCACTACTTCTCAAAAGTTACCATTCATAATTCTCGTCGGGATATAATAATATCTTAATGAAATAGACTGCTGATTATGTTGAACAGTATTTTTGATTAAAACAGACTTTCTGTAAAATCAATTACAAGAATCTAACTAATGAATTATAATACTTATCATTCAGATCAAAAGATCTCAACGTTTCAACTTCACTTTACATATCACAGTCACAACTATGATCACTTACTACAGTAGACTTATGGCGTTTAGTTTGATGAAGCTGGAAAATATCGATTGGTAGATTGAACAATCACAATTTCATGTTCTTGTTAACCGTCAGTTGTTTTCTAGCAGAATGTCATAAACATTTTAACTTAGGCAGATTTAGACTAGGAAGTGTGGCCAAAATATAATTTTGTCACTGGCTAAATTGTTTCGAATGTTTTAGTTCTACTATTCTGCTTCATACACATACATCATTTTTCATATAAATTGAGAAGAGATTAGTCAAATAAAAAAGTAACGATATATAAAATACAAGATACATTTCAGGTAGTAATACAACTGTGAATGGTTTCCTGTGGATAACAGAGTTCCTTGCACATTATTGAGAAATATAGAAGAGAGTTATCGTAACATCACTATTGGCCTTTGACCTTAGCTATGTCTGATAACAGCTCACATCATTAACGCGCACCATCTGTAGAACCCAAATCAGGGTATTGTGATGCACTGACAATCACCAATTCTATTCAGATTTCTTTCATGTCATTAAACTATATCATAGACTGACTGGCCTGACTCTTTCTTCAGCCAGCCTAAGCATTGGTAAATAATATACGTTGTGGAAGTTGATGGGATGAAATTCATACCACATGTTTAAACAACCGAGACAGATGAAGTTATCAAACTACAGAAGCTCAATCAACAAGTTCGTAAATGTCCAGTGTTTGATGATTAGAAGGAAACAACAATTAACACTACATAATCTCATAATAATTACTTGCTTATATTCAGTTATAAGACTTCAATATTTCAGTGTGTTTCTTTTCTGGAAAACTTTCTGTTAAGTCTATTTGATTCTGAACAATCCATCATAAACAAGGTCAATTAGGCTGAACATTCTCTGTGATAGAAACTAATATCATATGACATTATCTTCAATCTTGATTGAATTTCATCTAATGGATATTCTTCACTAAACTTACAACTATTCAATAACAAGTCACAGAAATCATCAAACCTTTTACTATCAAAATTGATGATCCCACCATTCTGCTACACTATTACTTACTTACTTAAGCTTGTTACTCTCAATAGAGTATAGGCCACCGACCAGCATTCTCCAACCGACTCTGCCCCGGGCCCTCTTTTCTAGTTCTATCCAATTGTTGTTCATTCTTCTCATGTCTATTTCCATTTCCTGGCGTAATGTGTTCTTTAGTCTTTCTCTTTTCCTTTGGCCTTGAGGATTCCATGTGAGGGCTTGTCTTGTGATGCAGTTGGGTGCTTTCCTCAATGTGTGTCCTATCCACTTCCAACGCTTCTTCCTGATTTATTCCTCCATTGGAATCTGGTTTGTTCTTTCCCACAGTTGGTTGTTGCTAATAGTGTTCGGCCAACGGATTCGAAGTATTTTGCGTAGACAACTGTTAACAAACACTTGTATTTTCTGGATGATGGCTTTCGTAGTTCTCCAGGTTTCCACCCCATACAGTAGAACTGTCTTGACATTTGTATTGAAAATCCTGACCTTGGTGTTGGTTGACAGTTGTTCTGAGTTCCAGATGTTCCTCAGTTGTAAATATGCTGCTCTTGCTTTGCCGATCCGCGCCTTCACATCTGTATCAGATCCTCCGTGTTCATCAATGATGCTGCCCAAATATGCAAAGGTTTCTACATATTCCAAATCTTCTCCTTCAATTGTGACTGGATTGGTGCATGCTGTGTTGTATCGGAGAATCTTGGTTTTCCCTTTGTGTATATTGAGACCTACTGCTGCTGAGGCTGCTGCTACACTGGTCGTCTTCTTTCGCATTTGTTTTTGCGTGTACGATAGAAGAGTCAGATCATCTGCGAAGTCTAGATCGTCCAGCTGCATCCTAGATGTCCACTGTATTCCGTGCTTCCCTTCAGATGTTGACGTCTTCATGATCCAGTCGATCACCAGGAGAAAGAGAAAGGGTGAGAGTTAGCAACCTTGCCTGACACCGGTCTTTACTTCGAACGGTTTTGTCAACTGTCCTCCATGCACCATTTTGCAGTTTAATCCATCATAGGAATTCCGTATGATATTGACTATCTTCTGAGGCACGCCGTAGTGTCGAAGAAGCTTCCATAGTGTTGTTCTGTTCTGCTACACTATATTCAACGTTTATTATTTCACAAGGTTTTCAAAAGATGCT